CTCACTTATAGTGGGTGATTACCAATTGAGATATTAATCTACAAATATAATACATGAATAAGGTAACTTTTTGGTCATACCCCATGCCATTTTTATTACTTCACTTATGATGGGTGTTTTTTTTTTTGTTCAATGGTTAGGAGTGTTTGAGTTAACTAATACACACTTCGACTAATTTTCTTTCAGGTCTGATGAAAGACAAATGGTGAAGCAAACGAGAATCTAAACTTGAGAGTCCGTGGTGGGTGTTTGATATAAAATAGTCATAGTTATTAGTCTTAGAGAAAATGGTGTAACCATCGTTATCCTATGATGATCTTATTTTTATATAGGCGTCGTAAGATTTTTGATGGAGCAAGGTTGAGACTATGGTTCAATCGAATTGAGATGAAATTTGTCAATTTTTTTTGTTGAAGTTCACCGAATCATTAGTTTTTTACTCTATATTGGCTTTCAGAGTTTGAATGAGGTAAAGTTGTTCATGGGATTAAATGCACTTATTTAAATTGAGTCCAAAAAATCCTAATTGCTTAATTCTCATACTTATAAATAGAGCAAATATGGGTTATATGGGCCTTGGTTTCCAATTCCACTCATTAATCCACCTAGTTTCCACCTCTAGGGCTAAGTGACATGTGGCGGGCGTCAAAATCTATTACTACTTTTAAGTTAAATAGTTATATAGTCAACAAACCACACACCGGCCTTCCTTGTACTTTGGTGGTTGTGCACCCAAAATGCCAACCTCAAGGATAGGGTTCAAAGGTTGGTAGAGAGAGAGAAGAAGAGAGATGAAGAAGATGAGGTATTCTAAAATACCTCTTTTTGTTTTGGCCACATTTGATGTATGATATGGAGATCGTCTCTACTGAATTGAAGTAACTATTGATTTCTAATTCCCACCGCAATGAGTGTGGTTTGATCAAGTATGGACAAAGGGTTGTGTTAGTGTAGTGTAGAAACCAACCCGCCCAACCCACATGTAATTTTGTGGCTTGAGTACTTGTTTTATTTTTACGAGTTATAAATTAATTGGATAATATCTATCCAATTGAATAGACAATTTGGAATTGGTTAAATATGGGTGTGGAATGGGTTAAACTTGTGTAAGTCCTTATCTTGAATTATGCCTATCCCGCAATCACCAACACCCCATTGAGGGAACTAAGTGTGGGCCAAAGGGAGCCGTGCTTCCTCTCATATTTTCAAAAGTTTCTATAATTCCCTTTAGGTTTTTTGAAAAAAAAACTTGTATAAGGATTCAAGGCTTGATATACGTGAAGGTGAGATGGGTGGCAGATGCATATTCTTTCTTTTTTTGGTCATTATTTGAAACTTTTACGAAGGAGGGAACCGGTGAGATTCGAATCTGCAATTTAACAGTTCAATAACAAGTTAAGGAGTTATTAAACCACCGTTAATCCTTGGAGATGTGTATTTTAAAATACCGTTGTTTCTTGTTTGATTTGCGTAACAATTAATCTTTGACGAATCATGTAAATCTTGAATGTTTAGACATAGTAAGGATCCTAAAATAATAATAAAAAAGAAAATATCAGTAACATGTATACAGTGTTTTAAAATTCGATTCGACCTAACAGTTGACACAGTAACTCGGTGAACCAGACATTAAACCAGGCCGGTTCATATGTTATATCGGTTAAACACCAAAATTGTCCAAGACCCGTTAAATCGAACAGTTTTTGAACTAACTGTCCAAACCGAACGGGTTATATGTTGTTTTTATAATTATTATATTTTTTTGGCATATTTGTTAGCATTAATCATTATTTTTTATTTTTTTATTATATAACTAGTCCGACCAGTGAATTAGTGGTTGAACCAATAATCCGTTGACCCAGCCCTTTTATTGAGTAGAGGTTCGGGTCAAGTTTAAAAACTATGCATGTATAGTTAAGTTAACGTATTACACTGATTTAACATTTTACATTGATTTAGAAATAAAATTTGACAAAATTGTCGACAAGCGTTAGAGTGTTTGGAAAAAATAAAGAATTACATTTGGGATTGATCAATGCTATGTAATCTAAATTTAAAATTTAAATTTGTATTCCAAATCAATTAGGATCATTGGATTAGTGATTCTCATTTAAAAAAATTGATGAGACCCACCTATCCAATGATCTCCGTCTATTTAGGATACAAATTTACGTTACATAGTATTTTCTTTTGGGATTATGCAACTTTTTGATGGTGGGTCATTGCCAATTGAGATATGAGTGTAGAAATAGGATAAATGAAGAGAGCAAGGCACTGGCCCCACTTTCTGACCCGTTGGCTACCCTTGTGTCCTGGTGCACTAGAGGTCGGACGGTCGAGGCTGGTATGTGATTATGCAACTTTTTGATGGTGGGTCATAGCCAATTGAGATATGAGTGTATAAATAGGATAAATGAAGAGAGCAAGGCACTGGCCCCACTTTCTGACCCGTTGGCTACCCTTGTGTTCTGGTGCACTAGAGGTCGGACGGTCGAGGCTGGTATGTGGTGGGGGTGGAAAAATGGTGGTGAAGTTCAGTTAATGAACTTGAGGTATTCTAAAAGACCTTTTTTGTCAAAATTTATTTGTGTTTTTTGTTATTGAAAGGCGTATGATGCGGAATTTTTTTATTTGGGAAAATTTCAGCCACTTTTGTTTATTATATTTTCAAGAATACATTTTTTATTATTTAAAATATCATTGACACTTTTTTTAATTTTTATTTAAACATTACTAACACCCCTGTCATTAAACCATCATTTCCAATAAACCCTTTTTTTTTTATCTAAAATACTAAAATTACACTTACATAAATCCAAAACAATCTTTTTACATAAAATTCGATTAAAATTTGACCGGATTAAAATTCGATTCGATTTGAGTTGATTAAATTTTATTTTTTTATGTATTAAAATTCAAGCGTATTAATTTAATTTTTTATGTAAGTTGATTTGAACTCAACTTGCATTGTTACGGTCGATTAAAATTCGACTCGAGTCGATTAAAATTTATTTATTTTTACTTATTAAAATCCATGCCAATTAAAATTCAATTAAAGTTGATTAAAATTTATATTTTTTTACATATCAAAATTCGGGTCGATTAAAATTCAATTTGAGTTGATTAAAATTTGATTCAAACTGATTAAAAATGAATTTTATTCTGCTTAAATTGAATTTTAGTTGACTTGAATTTTAATACGTAAAAAAATTTATAAAATAGAGAGAGTCTCATTGAAGAGATGTCTATCTAACGAGTGTAGATAAAATTTTTTTTAAAATATATCGTGGACAATTTAGTAAAATTATATTATAGTTAATGTCTTAAATTTGATAGGATGTATAAGTGAAGATTCATAAACTAGAAAGAGTGTGCATGAATATATGATAAATTAGAGAGGGGTGTGACTAAAACTTTTCTTATTAATTTTTTTTATTGAATTACAATTGGGTGGGGCCTATTCTCACCCCTTAATTCTCTTTTTCTACCATATTTAATCTTTTTATTTTAAACTACTAAATTCAGCTTATTTATACCTACCCCATTAGTTATTAAATTCATCTTATACTATACACACCCTTTTAATAAGTGAATTAACTTTATATTTTTTCACGGTTAATGTTTCATTCACTATCTCATCCAGTATACTCTCAAAAACACTTTTTAAATATGCATTTCTCTAGCGAGATACCAATTAATATTATTTCTCAATTTAATTCTATGATTGATTTTATTTGTGCGGTGTGAATTTTTATCATTTTTTTATGTGTTTTTTGTATTTCTGTGAAATTTAATCATTTTTTATGAGGATCTAAATTCTGAATGATAGTCAATCCTAACAAGACCTTTGTGAAATCACATCTCAGTGCCTTTTCTTTTATTTAAAAAGTAATGTTATTATAACCTAAAAATTTAACCTAATTTGTTGGCTAAATGATACTGATTTATTGTAATTATTGAATTAACATCAAATTTTAATATTTGATGGGTCCACAGTCAATCTAATGACTACAACGTAATAGGTCCCGATAGCATTGCTAGTATCTAAATAAACTTATAAGCAACACGTATGCACCAGGCCTTCTTGGTGTTTATTGGGTGCAGTCTAAATTAGCCTCCCCAATGTTTTTGTTTTGATTGGCTTGGGGCTTTTTAGAATAATCTTCTTCTCTTGAGCCATATACTCATGTAGTATCTACTAAAACTTCGCCAAGATGATACAAAGGCCATGACGCGAAGAAATTCTGGTGCATTTGAGTTATAGTATGATCTTGCCTAGAATTTTTAGTGTAATGCTACAATTTTTAAAAGTATTTTTTAGTATTTCATCAGGGTTATTCCAAAATTAGAGGTGATGATACAATTCAATCTTCAGAGGTAATGCCAAAATGGGTATTAAAAGTATTTAGTATCAATCCTAGCATATTAGTATCAATAGTAAAAAGACCCTTTTAGCTTGTAACTTAACCAAAAAAAGTTCCTAAACAAGACTCATAAGGCCAATTTATATATTGGGTTTTAATTAAAAATTATAGTAACTGGTCGTGTTTTAAAATTTGTTCGACCTATATCAGACTAGTTTATAACCATGTATAACTGAATTTTTGTCGTGTCGTGTCGAGTTTGTGTCGTATACGAGCTGTATTTATTTAGTTTGTTTTTTGTTTAACATGTTTATCCATTTATTTGATGAGTCTAATGGGTTCACCCATTCGCCATCTTAACTTACAGAGTCTTAAATTAAACTTGTTAAATTCATGTCGAGTTTGTGTAAGTTGTTGGTTGTGTCTACAATCACCATGTATAAGGTATTTATCTTATTCAAAATTAGAACGACGTATGCAATTAAAAAGCGTTTCCCAATGGTAACTTACTATGAATAATCTGAACTACACACTTTCCTGCTTGCCCTGTCTATGGTCCTTTGTTTTGGTAACAGGCCATGTCTGTGATCAAGCAAACTTGCCTGCTTATTAATATTTGCATTTGTACATTTTACTTACTCAAGCAGACTGATATTCTCACAATCTCATAGGCCTCTCTGCCTCTCTCACTACATGTATGCCAACTCTTCATACACTAATGGTAGTGCAATGATTTTTTCTATGTTGCATGCACAGGAGCCTATAGAATCCTGACATGTGTATTACCCACACCCTGCCATGTGGCCCTTCGACCGGATGACACATTCTCCTCTGGAGACCCCTTCCTCAGCCTTTACAAACATGCATCATTCAAATTCAATATATTGTTAGGTTAAAGCAAAACAAAGCAGCTCAACTCAAACTATGATAGACAACCAGTTTCAGCATCATCAAGTTCCAGACATACAAAAAGTGGAGAAACTCATTTGCCAATTTATTGGGTATATGATGGAGCTTGTCTTTGAAGGAATGACATCAAACTCAATAGCAATCTCAGCGCCAATCCACTTTAATTGCTAGCTTTGATGCGGTGTACAAAGCATCTTTTCCATGGTCGATTTCTCCAAAATCGTGACAAAGCATTGCTAACATAATTACTCTACAATACCAATGCAAATGACCATCTTCACCAATCGAAAGCCTCGTTTTTGCTGTCTGTTTGAATTTGCTAATCTAACAAGTCACCTTCTTCTGCTAAAAAACGAAGAACACCGTTAGGAGCTGACAACCTATACAATTCTGAATAATTGAGCCAAATTTTTTCTTTCCTAATGGAATCAAATCTGCAGTCAGCTTGGAGATATTCGAATCCTAGTGTAGGGGGAAACAAATATTTTTCTCTCTTCCAATATTCTATAGTCCCGATTTTGAGCACCCTGTTAAATGCGATGAATAATAAGGTTAGGACATAAGACACATAAATGAATAATTGATTTTTCCAACATCTTAGGTAGAACTTCTGGCAGTTACCATTTGGTCCCAAACTGTTGATAGCTGCTGAGTTAGAATCAAATCCCATTTGTAGTATACTGTGAAGCTCATTGTCCCATGCGGCCTGTGTAACCGAGAAGATTTCTTAGTTAATCTTCGAAAGAGGAAAGACTAGGAGCAGGATAATGACATCTTGATGCTACCTGAGCCATGGGATTCAATGGTGGAGTTGTAAATGGGATACTCAAGGAGGTTCCTTGTGGAATTCCCTGGGGGAAAGGATAGGAGGAGCTCAATCCTGGTCCAAATCCAAAAATAGCTGCATTGCTTCCTCGTGAGTGGAGAATCTACCAAAAGCGAAACGAGCATGAAATTCATAATCCCCACTAAACATCAAAAATAATAATGTGTTGATGAACTTGTGCACTTCTCTACCATCAGTGTTTATATTCACTTACATCTTTGGTCAGAATCCGTTCTATATCATCGTTCAGCTCCGGATTCACAGTGGCAAGTTTCATTGACAAAAACTGTGAGAAAAAATTAAGTACATATTTACAACATCATCGGATAAATGTAAACAGAACAGTTCAATTACATTTGCCTAGGATTTGCGGATAACCATATATCATGTTCTGCTATTTTAGTATGATTTCCTGGAATTCTAAAGAATTAATAGATGCTGAGAAATTGGTCCTGCAATGATTAATGTCTTTTCATGAGCCCATTCATTTATATTAGTTTAGTCACAGTAACACGACCAATAGTACCTCAGGTCTGTTTTTATTGACAAAATCAAATAGAACTACAATCGAGTTTACAGGAAAGACTTCTACAGTCGAGTTTACAATTACCCAAATTCTAAAGTATGCCCAGTGGATGCATATTTTGAACTACAATTCATCCTTAAGGTCCGAATCTACCATGGTGAGGCTGATTCATTGGTATTGTCAGATGTATATCCTCAATTACAAAGAAAATAACAAATGATATCCACTAGAGATGCAAATTGCATACCTCGACCTGCTGTTGCAGCGATTGGACATAGTTGATGATTTCATCGAGCATTACCGCTTTCCCAGTTATCTTCAATCAGAAATAACAACAAAATTAAGTAATAATAATTGATTAATTCAAAGTATTAAGAATCAGAAGCTAGAACTTAGCCAGTTACCTTATTGCAGCCCGGAACAAGTTCTTGAAGCAATCTCATCCGCTCACTAATCCTCTCTCTCCTCACCTGCAAGTCAAAGAGAGTAAAAGACTTTCAAGGTCATTTTAGATATGAGCAACTTGAAAATTCAATAAAATTAACTACATAAGATTCAGAAGATACCCTTTCCGCGAGGCTATGACTATTCGTAGCCTGGCCTCGTTTGGCCCTCACATGAATGTAATTTTCTTTAGGAGCTTCTCCACTGTTGGAATTATCCTTAGCTTGTTTACTTGTTTGCTTACCGCGCAAATTGGCACTAATGTTTTGTTCAATTTTTTGCTTCTTTTCTTCCTGTTCTTTTAGACATTCTGAACTGTCCTTGGAAGACTCCTTATGCTGCTCTCGTTCGGCATTCTATAACGAATAACAAAGAATTCACCAACTGGGGTATGACACAACAAAAGTGCCACATTATCGCTGTAATTCAACAGATAATTAACAATTCTAAAGACAATTTACCTTATTGGTGTTCATAGGAGAAGGGGAATTTGATGCTCTCCTTTTCCTCCTTCCATTAGGTGATGATCCCTCTTCTGAAACTTGGCAGTTCTCCTGACAATCTGCGTTATTGGTTGAGGTATTGGCAGTGCCACCCTCCCTGTTTCGGAGATAATTTATAGGGCAGCCAGAGTTTGTGATCTGTCCACTCTCAGGTAGGCCAAAGGAACTGACCATTTCTGAGAAGTTTCCACTTCCAAAACTTGGAAGCTTTGGCACCATATCAACAAGACCCAAATCAGATGGGTAATGAACAAGGTGGGAAGAGCTATCAATTGCCTGATTTGTCAGCAAAAGTGGGAAGGGTGGATTGGCAACGTCAGTGAGAGGTACCATTGAGGAACCTCCAAAATTCTCACTCTGACTCATTGAAAGTGAATCCCAACCAGAACCAAAGAAAGGGTCTGCCCCATTTGTAGATTTTATTATGGCCCCTGAGCTCATTGCTCTTCCTAAAATCTTCCCAGACACTGAAATTGGGTTCATTCCAGAAGAAGAGCCTCTATGTTGAAAACCCATATCACCATTATCTTCGGTACCCATGGTCACAACACAACAAGAAAAACCCAAATCTATGGAACTCAACCAATACACCTTCAAAAAGAAACCCCAATTCAGTACTTAGGATAAAGAGGACTTGACAGTTACTCAACAGAAGGAACTATATGACTTAAAGAAAAAGTGAGTTTGACCAAAAATAGCTGCTAATATCTTGCAAGACTCAACAAGGAACAAACAACCTAGGCAGCTTTATAGAGCTGGGAAGGGTTTAAAGCAAAAGAAGCCCTCCTTGCAGAACCCTATAGACACAAAGAAAAAGTTGAAATCCAAAGTACCAGGCATAAAATCTACGCATCAACAGCTACTTACCGCTACTTTCAAAAAACCATAGGATTAAGCCTATTTTGATATGGGGAAAAGTGAATCATAGAGACAAGAAAGTGTCAACCTTTCAGAGCATAAAGTAGAGAGAAGTGTATGGCATTAGCTGAGTAATAGCCCACCAGAGTACCAAAAAGAAAGCAGAGTTCCTTTTCCAATTTTCTTTACAACCCTCACACAGAACACCCAATCAAACAATGTATGATCCAAAATGAGACTCCAATCTTTTCACTTGAACCCAAATGATGAGTTTCCCTTCCCTCTAAGCTTCAAGCAATTAAAACAGAACCCAAATGGTGTCCAAACAAGCCCTAATTTAAAATATACCAGTTTTCAATTGGAAGCTTCGTACCAACAACCAATAACCCCACAAGAACCCAGAAAGAGCAGTTTGCAGAGACCCTTTTGAGATGTTTTCAGATAGGTAGCCCAAAAGGAACAGAAAGAATCAAATTCTATGGGCAGGGACTCAGAACAGTCCCCTAAATTAGATGTTTGAGACAACCGCTGAATAGTGAATAGTATCAAATGCTTGCTTAACTTATACAAGAATGACCAAATTCACCAACTGGGTACTTGCAGAAAAAGCAAAACAAGCATCAAATTCCGATCTTAAGGGATCAAAGAAGATATACAGAGCTAGGAGCTACAGAGTGGTGAGTGACACCATATAAAGAGAAGAAAAACTTATCTGCCCAACTTAACTGGTGGCATGTATGATTTTAAATGACAGACTAACTACTGCCAACTGCTCTTGCTTTTAAATGATTACAGAACCTAATTTCTCTCTTCTCCCGCACATACCGCTGGAAAAACGAGTTTGATTTCTTCTTGTTTAAATTGTGTTAGCAACCTTGTCTTTGTGTTATGGATCGGTTTAAGTTATAATGATTAATCGTTGAATTCGAAAAAATAATCGATGTAGATTCAATTATTTATATAAAAAAAACAGTAAAACTCATGTTGTATCAAAATTATATCTTATTGAAGTCCTATTTAACAACTCTTATCGTATTCATCCATTTAATCTACTTAGATTAAATTCAAATACATTAATTATGTATTGATGTTATCAAAATTTCTCATCCCACCCATATTTTTCTACTTATAATACACATACTAATTTTATATATCTTTTGTTCTTTTACATCTCATAATAGATTGGAGAGGTTCTTCTCTTCAAGTCCAAGCTTGCTTTCTTGACATACCCCTTTTGCTTCTTTTTTTACTGACACATTTGCCAACTATTCTAACAGACCTATCTTTGCTGTTGCACACTCGATTTTCTTAGTGCCAACTAACCCAACAATACTTTTGAGAAACACCCATTGTGCACCTGAGGTCCATCACCCCCCATGAACTCTACTGTTCTTGTTCATCACTGTTACTCATGTCCCACCAAATCAATCCTCCAAACCATTTGCAATATGAGCATCGTATACCCCATGCAAAAGATACATCCTGAATAACTTGTTATGTGGTAGACACACAGTGCAATGTATGGTCCAGATTGGACAGTCTACAGAAAGTGCTGCTGTTGCACTGTATTGTGTAGTTTCTCTTTTTTCTTTTATTGTTTCTTTTTTAAGCTGGAGAACAGTTAAATGTTTTATTTAAATTGATTTGTCAGTGCAATCTTTTTCTTTTACTTTGGGCTTTTGGTTCTCTCAGCGTAAGGAATAATGGAATCTCATCATTAAAATTACCTCATTGTCCTTGTACGGTTCCAGCTGTAGGTGTCTGGACTTTCTAGTGTGTATAGCCTGTACAAAGCCATCAACAACCATACTGGTCAAACCAGAAGTATCTGGTCAACACTGTATAAGGTTGTGATCTTGCTGGAATCGAAAGTTATTCCTACATTAACGGCTCATTTTCTCCCCCATTGATCCAGTGTGGTACAGACCACTGTAGAAGTGGGCCATCATTGATTTTATTCCTCCACTTGTGGGACAGAAGTGACTTGATTTGTGAAATGGAAGAGACCCACATGAATTGATGATGTACAGTGAGAATAATAGACAATGGAAAGGTATGATGGGTGATGATTGAGATAGCACACCTAACTTATCAACGTGGGCACTCACACCAAATCATTCTTCTCTACGCTTCAGATTTGCGTTGGCTGGGACCTTGGATTCGAGATCTAACGTGTTTTCATTTTTTTGTTGAATTTTAAATGGCAAAACTGTAATTTAGGAACAGATGAGGTTTGACTATATTCTGAAATGAATGATTATGTGCCAAGGATTGACTTAATATGTGCTGTTTGGGCCAGCATTATTGAAGTTTAATCTAACTAACAGCATGTTGCTTTCAATTAAGTAATGTTTTATGCAGCAATGTGGGTAGAAAAGGTTTGAAAGCCACACATCAACACATCTAAAAAAGAAAAGTTAGGAAGAAATTAGTCATACTTGGAGAATTAGAAATACACTAAAAGAAATTTTGGAATGATAGAGTTTGATGGACGTACCATAAAGTTTTCCACATTTTTTTCTTGAAACAAAAACTATTTAAGTTGGATTGAGATTGCATTCCTAGAAAAAAATGTATTATGGATTATGGTCTACATCAATAAAGTTTGAATATTTGAATTTTGGGTATTTTCAAATAATTAATTGGAGACTGTTAGAGTGTTAAAAATTGAAGGTTAGCCGGATGCAACCATATTCAATTTGGGTGGAATAACTCGACTTAGAACCAAAATATTCTGTATTCTAATAGAAATTCCTCGTATTTGAGTTGGGATTGTGAAAAAATAAAAATCTAAGTGGATTTAGATCCGGGATGTATTTGCTTTAGAATATTTGGGTTTTGTGGCCCAACCCAAATTTGTGAACGCGGGTATCAACTTGAATTGAACTTAATTTTCAGCCAAAGCTTTGTAAATTGAGAATCAAACCCAAATTTCATCCTAAAAATTGAACTCTCCTTTCATGTTGAATTGAACCCGACTTTGAAGCCGATATTTATAACCCGACTTTAATCCAAGTTCAAAAATAGAAGCATGTTCAGTACTCTAGTAATTCTAAGTTGAGAATTTTATAACTAGATTTAAGCTTACTTTTGCCTTCCAACCCGACTAATCCACCCAAGTTGCAGCATGTGGTGGACAACTTCATGGATGGGTTGTTATATTAACCTCTACCCCCCCCCCCCCCCCCCCCCCCCCAAAGGTGTGAACTTCAATCCACAACCTACAAAGCAAATCATGGCATGAAATTAAAAATAATGGGTTAATTATAGTAGAGATTCCTAAAATATAAAGTTTGTTTCATTCTGATTCTCAATATTTCAATTTTATCATTTTAGTCTCTGAAATATTGAATATATTTATATTTGGTCGCTTTAGTAGACAATGTTCAGATTATTAACGATTTTTTATTATAAACATGTCATGTAACACCTAAATATTGACAAAAAAATAATTTGGATAATTCCTGACCAATTTTCTACCCAAATTTTGGTTAAAGAATTACCCAAATTTTACAGTTTTGATCATGAATTATCCAAATTTTGGTCAAGAGCTACCTATATTACACATTTTTGGTGAAGAGCTATTTAAATTGTGGTTAAGACTAAAGAGCTAGTCAAATTATTTTTTATCCATATTTAGGTGTCACGTGATAATTTTATTATAAAAAATCGTTAACAATTTAGATGTTTGTTTGAGAGACCATATTCTTCCGAGTACCAAAATAATACAATTGAAATATTAGAGATTAAAATGAGATAAATTTATACATTGAGACTCTCCTGTATAATTGACCCTAAAATAATATTCTGTGGGTAATTTGGTCGAACACCTTTCAGATATCCCCTTGTTTGGAAACAGGTCAGATGCAGGGGGGGAAAGAAATGTTTGCATGTGTTAAACATCAGTGATTTGTACCTGAAATAGTTAATAAAACACCTTAATTAACTTACAAATCCAACCAAATGGGACCCACAAGATCACGCGTGCGGCACGCAATGGGCTTAATCTTCTTATAGTTCCACAGATTGTGGTCCTGAAAAATTAGCAATGATTTGTTTTGATACCTGAGAGAAGAATCTCTTAAAACTTTAGCCTTATCAAACATGATTCCTCTGCATAAAAAAATCACATTGCTCTTTTGCTTTAGTAACTTGGCAGTCCTTGCTTTGATGCTATACAATCTTTTTGTCGTAGGAGGGTTTACACTTTTGAAGAAGCTTTACCATCTCTTCTCTTTATAAAAAGTTGCCACCCCACTTTTCCAATTTTAGAGAGCTATATGTTTAATCTAGGTGAGAAAAAAGTGTAATTAAGTGTATAGTTTGAAAAGAGCAAGATAATTATACCATATTTTTACTTGTGTATTGACGGACAATTTGATTCAAACCTGTAGGATAATGTTACTATTTCATTAAATGATAATGAGCCCGACCCAGAGTAAGCCTAGATCACATATACAGACCAATAAAGACTCAATCACAATTTCATTTGGGTCAAGTCCACCTTCCTGAGAGACCTAGTTCATTGTCAGCGCACGTGGAAATCTCCATCCAAAAAGCGGGAATCTGTGGGAACATAGTCATCAAGGACATATTGCTAGTCTCACGAGATCATCTCGCCCGTTACGAAATAAAGCGAGCTTTAAAGAATTATCCCTCTATTACCTCGCCTGTTACAAGGGTAAGGCGAACTTCACGAAATCACCCCGCTCCTTGTTAAGAGGATGGGGCCTCAATCAGAGCTCCTCGAAGCCAACTTCACTTGCCTATAAATTGTAAGCCAAGCCTACACATGGGGGATGTCACACAAATCTCAGAACTCTACACACTTGAGTAATAGACTCTCTGGTCACCGTAGTTATTCCCAGTGAAGTAGATCACCCTGATCAAACCATCTAATCTGTGTCTCTTACTGTGTTGAGCATCCTCCATCATATACACCATCACATCCTTAATTGATTTTGCATAAACACATATATACATCATCAAATTATGCTTTCAAAGTTTCTAATTTATTAGTGGTATGATTTACATTATGGTAGAAGAAAAAAAAACGATATTATACCTCCAAATGATTTTGGAACTTAAGATTTAGTTTTGATTATTCATAATCGTTGATTGTAAAAGTAATAAACTAGAGTGAAATAACCAGATAAATATTCTTTGCACAACGTAATCTCATAAATAAGTGTTGGTTTAATCTATGGTCAATCCAAAGCCTAGTAAATTAGGACTTTTAATCATATTATGTCAAATATTGTTAAAAGAAGGTTTTGCAATACAATAGACAACGATTTCATTATAAACTCTTTAACTAGTTAGATAGAAAAAATTGTTAAAAAGTGTATTACGGATTAAAAATATGACTAAATTGATATGTACTTAAAATTATTTTTTGTTCATCTTTAATTTTTTTTCGTATCTTTATTTTATTTTTTCCTCACATATATTATTTTGTTAGATATATTTTTATGTATCGAGAATCTGAATTTTTTTTTGAGAATCATTGGTAAAAAAATTATTACTCAGGAATATCAGCAAAAAGGAGAGACACAACAAAGTCTTGTGCCTGTTCCAGACATACAACGCTACTATTTAAAGGTAATACAAAATGAGCTAACTTATGAGCTACTTTATTCTCATTGCGTTAGA